TCTCTCAGTCTTGCTCATTTTCTACCCTTCTCATCAGGGTGATCAGTAAAGTAATGATCAATACCAAGGGGCCAGGTGCCATAATGGATCACTGAATGGGGTGGGGGGTTAGAAGTCTTGGGACCCAGACCTGCCACTGGCCAGCTCTGTGACCTTGGATGAGTAGCTTTGCCTGAGTCCCTGCAACTGGAAACAAGGTCTAAAGAGGCAAGTCATGGTGCTTCTGTGAAGATCAAAAGCCACAGCTAATGTGTTGAAGGTGCTAGACAGGTACTGGTCCACAGAAAGGGCTCAGTGTTTGCTGATTTTCCTTTCTGCTGGGATTCACATGTGCAGAATATACCCCTAGGCCTGTCTGCATCCCAAGTTCTCAGAGCATTCCCTGGCACTGTGGAGGCAAAAGCCCCTAGCTGTGGGACCGGTGAAGACTCAGGGCTAGCAGTTCTGTCCTGTATCTATCTCACTTACTGTGAGACCACAGGCAACCCCTAGTTTACTTGTTCTTGGAATGGAAACAGTGACTGCCTTAATTCTCAGGGCTGTTGTTAGAGTCACATGAAGCAGTGTAATGACAGCTCTCTGTGGAGTTAAAGTTGCCATCCAAATGCAGAGGATTATCATCTCTCTCTTAGGGATGGCACCGCCACATACACACAAACAATGACAAACATAGGCAGTGGTGTGCTGGTACTCCAGCTCTCAGGGGGGATGAGGCCTTGATTTATAGTGTTTGTTAATCTCTGTGGTGTAAATACTCTGGTCATGATTTATTTTAAGCTACTGATGATTTAACAACCCACTCTCACCAAATACCTAAACATTTAACCGGTGGCTCTCTACCAGGCCAGCACTGACACCACTGACAGGGGTAAGAAACAGGACCTGGAGTCTCCTGTTAGCCGGGCTAGTGTGCCTATGTGTATGGATGTCTTGGGAACTTTTTTTCTCCTTCTTTCCATCTGGAGTTGTCTCTGCTCAGATCCCATGGTTAATAAAGCCACTTCCTTTCCAACACTTCTCTTGGGTTTAAAGCCAAAAGACTCTATGGAGGGTAGGGTATGGGTTCACTGGTCTGTGGGGAGGGCCTAGCTTAGCTAGAGGCTGTCTCCTAATCCTTGGGCACACTGGTCTTCAAGGCTCATTGTATGAGTTTCTAGGGTGGGAATAGGACTGGGGTGGAAGGAGATGAGAGCTTGTCTTTTCTACCTGCCATTAAACACCACCTTCTGCTATTGCCTGGGGGTTTACCTAGTAGCCACCTCTTGTTTGTGCCCCATATAGTCATGCCACTGTCTCAAGATTTGGAAACCTGTATCTACTTTCCTGCAGGCTCTCCAAGAACTGGTCCAGTTGCTGGCTCATCAGAGCTGCTTTATAGCTCTGTGTTTAATTGGCAGATAAATAAATGAGTCCATGCACACAGGTTCTGGGGAGGTTCAACATGCCTCTCCCTATCCCAGATTGCAAACGGGATCTGCAGTCCCCCTTCTAGTTTGGCAACTCCTCTTTTTCACTCATTCATTCAACCAATATTGATCATTGAGTGTCAGATGCACAGGACTAGCTAGCTAGAAAACTTAAGGATGACTCTGTGGCTCTTAGGTTGGTGGGACAAAAAACAAAACAAAACTAAACAAAAAACCCAACCAAACTCATTGCCATCAAGTTGATTCTGACTCATAATGACTCCCATTGGGTTTCCAAGGCTGTAAATCTTTATAGAAGCAAATGACCTTATCTAGCAGCTAGTGGGTTCAAACCACTGACCTTTTAATTAGCCACCAAATGCTTTAACCACTACACCACCAGACTTCCTTTAGCTTGAGGGAAAGTGGCAGGAAATACAGGAGAAGGTGCAGGGTTGGAAGGAGTAGATAGAGGAGCTCCATTTTAGACATGTTGAGTTTAGATGCCTACAAGACCTGCAAGAGGAGCTTCCCATAGGCAGATGGATGCATGGCTTGGAGGTCAGGATAGAGGAGATGACGTTATTAAACCTTCCTCCACCAACAGTTCCAGATGGAAAGACCAGAGTGACCTTTTCTTGTTCCTCATGTTTAGGTAATTGTTTACTGGGTCCATGTTTCCAAGCACTTGTTTCCTCTACCTAGAATGTTCTACCTGTAGAAACCTACTCTTCCTTCAGGTACCGAGGTCAGTTGGTATTCTGCAACCCACCTGGTGAGAACTGGTCACCGCTTCTCCTGCGGGGCTTCCATCCTCACTTTGTTTATACTTCCTTGTTTTTCCCTAGCTGTCCTGTGTGATAGAATCTGTGCCTGCCCCTCCCTCATTGTGCCATGATCTCCTGAGGGCAGGGATAGACCTCTCTTCTCTATGTCCCTCATGACACCCACCAATGTTGGCACAGAATAGGTGCATGCCTTGTGTGTGTTTACTGAATGAACAGATTTCATTTGTTTTTCTGGGTGACCTACTCCTTACATCGGCTTCTTCTGCAGATGGCCTTGTAGAACTGCTCTGTGTGTGTTTAGCTGAGCACAGCCCCTGCCCTGGGGCCAGGCTATTCCCAGCGGACACAGCAAAGAAACAATCTGCTCTGTTGTTACTCATCACAGCCTTGCCCTCAGAGCACCCCTCAAGGTCAGCCTATTGAGTCCCAGGTTGCCTGTGCTTCTGCCAACACTGTAACAGACAAGGGAGGGTATAGTGGTATTTGACTTCCCAGTCTATCCTTTTTCTCATTTGGAGTTAGAAATAGAGACATGGATTGTTAAGTTTCTTAATTCTTTTGTAACCATGAAAAAGCAAAGCTAATTTAGGTAGAAAGATGCTTCAGCCTTCTTAAGAATTAGTCCATTTTGTATTTCATCACAATTTTTTGAAACAGCTTATTGCAATTATTTATGAAAGCACCTTTTAATGTTGCGATATTGTGTTTCCAAACAATGAGAGACCTTGGATTTGTCACTCTGAAGCCTACCTGGTGATTCCAGCACTGAACCTTAGTCCCCTCTGTGGTACCAAAGAAGTGGGTCTTGCTCTCGTGCTTTGGCAGGATGCATGTCCAGGGAGGTGCCCCCCAGACTCCTCGAGGACTTCCCAGTCCTGGGCTGGCTTTCCCCTGGCTGAGTGCCCGCTAACACTCACATTGCGTTGTTGTTCCCCTGGGTGTTGCCTACCTGCTCTGGAAAATGGTTGTTAGTCCTAAGTGGTCAAAGCAGAGTCAAAGCTAACTTTTCAGGACGAGTAGATTCCAGAGTAACATATTGTCTAGACTGACTAGTCCTGATGGGGTATCAGGTGATGCACATCTTTCTCATTGTTGAGTACCTTCTTTGCCTAGTGTCTCTTGGAGTTAGATTCGTATCAGTATACATAGGGCTGATTTGTTTTTCCTGAGGCCTCCAGCCTGTCCCATGGCTGCCTGGACACCACACCCAGTATGACACCCCTAGGGATGGATAGGAGCTCTGGTAGCATAGTGGCTAAAGCACTTGACTGCTAACCAGAAGGCTGGTGGTTCAAACCCACCAGCCACTCCTCAGAAGGAAGGTTGGGCAATCTACTTCTGTAGTGATACCACCTCAGAAACCCAAGGAGGGGTCGCTATGAATTGGGTCCGATTTGATGGCACATAACAACAACAGGGATGGATGCTTCATTTGCAACACTGCCCCAGAGATCCTGGTGCATAATCTGTTATGAACCCTGGAGTGCATTTATAAGATGTATTGCTGAAAGGAGAATTCTAGCTTTTGAATTTGAAAATGGCTCCCCCAGATAAGGGCAGATTATGTGTTAAAGACAAACCTTGCCATTTATGAAAATGAGTTCCTCATCTCCCCTCATACCTGTTGTTAGTTGCCATCAAGTCGATTCCGACTCATGGTGACTATGCCCTTAGGGTTTTCAAGGCTGTGTTCTTTTGGAAGCGGATCCCCAGGCCTGTCTTCGGAGGTGCCTCTGGGTGGGTTCCAACTGCCAGCCTCTAGGTTACTAGTAGAGCGCTTAACCATTTGTGCATTCCAGGGAGTTCCTACCTTATAAAAAATCCCCTAAACCAAACTCACTGCCATTGAGTTAATTCCGACTCATAGTGACCCCCTTTGGGTTTCTGAGGTAAATCTTTACAGAAGTAGATTGCCCAGTCTTCTTTCCAGGCTGACTGGTGGGTTTCAACCACCAATCTTCCAGTTAGCAGTCAAATGCCTTAGGCACTACACCAGCACAGCTCCTTTCCTGCTTTATACTATGCACAAAAAATCAAGTGCTAGAACGTTCTCATGGGCAAAGGAAGGGACACCGAGCCAGATATTGGATGTAGGTACTGACCATGACCCTCTGGAGACCTGGCTCTGTTTCCTAGGAGCCATATTCTGGGTCTCAGCAGAGCCAGGGGGCAGGGACCCCAGGGGAAGCTGGGGAAAGACTCTCTTATTCCTGCCAGCTGTCTTGGACAGCTGCTGACCTGCTTGGTTGGTTGGGTCCTCTTTAGAATTCCCCAGCACACTGCCAGCCAAGGTGGCTGTGGATCCACTTCACCCTGAGCTCCTATGCATCTTAGAAACTGTGTGCTAAAGGAAAGATCAGTCAGTCTGCCTCAAATTTCACAAATATTTACCTTACAAATCCCTGCTGTGTCCACATTCTAGGAGGTAATGAGGCCAGAGAGGGATTAAAATGAAGGGGCTGCTGTTTCTCCGGAGTTTAGACGAGTGGGCGAGAAAGACCACCACTGCAATTACCAGCACAGACGACTTGCAGGGTGGCATAGGGACTAGGTTTCCTCTTGTGGAAACCTGGTCCAGGCACAGCCCTTTCCCACCCATGTTCCCAGGGCTTTTCAGAGCCTGGAGCCTCAAGGAACAAGTTGACCTGGCCTCAGGGTGTGGGGGTAGAGAAGAAGAAGGGGGAGAGGAAGAAAGAGCAACAGGGCGGGGCAAACTCCATGAAATCACCAAGACCTAGATAAAGGGGAGCAGGGCGGGCGCAGGTGGCAGAGCGTTCTCTAGTTGGAACCACCGCAGGACCCAGCCATGAGGCTCGTCTTCACTGCCCTGCTGTCCTTCGGGGCCCTTGGTGAGTGCAGGTGCGGGGACTCGTCCCACCCGGTGGGCGCCCCTGTTCTTGCGCCCTGCGGGTAGGCCCCCTAGGTCCTTGCACCCTGCGGACCCGCACCCCCACGCTTGCAGCCAGGGAGGCGGCCCCGAGCTCCGCCGGGAAGATGCCTGGAGGAACGGCTCGGTCGATCCCGCCCCCCTCCTCCCCGGCCTGGGGAGGAGTCGGAGGAGGGCTTCTGTGAGCTCGGTGAGGGCAAGTCCAACGCTGCGCAAAGCTTCCCAAAAAGCCTCGGGAGACACTGTCCCTCTTTGTCATACTAGGACCTTTGGCACCATCGGATTGTTGTATTCGTTTTGTGTGAGAAAAGTGAGGTGCAGAAAGGGTGAGTGGCTTGCCCTTTTTCAGATAGGAGATGCCAGATCCCAGCTCCTGCAAGAACTATGAGGCAAATAGAACCTTTCTGAGCCTTAATGTCATCATTTTGAAGACAGCCCAACAGTGGTTCCACAGTGGTGTTGTGAGGAGGAAGCAAGTGCCACCTGCACAGTGCTGGGCACAGGTGTACACACACTTCCCACAGCAGATGAGGTGGAGTGAGGTAAACCTGTAGATGAGGCCCTTGTGTCAGAGGGTGTGAATGATAGATTTCACCTTTGAAATGTGCCCAGAACATGCCAAACAGGAGGGACTAAACACATGTTTGGGGCAGTGCTGGTTCAGTGGTAGAGTTCTTGCCTTCCGTGTGGGACACCCAAGTTCAATTCCCAGCCAATGCACCTCATGTGCAGCTGTCACTCTATGTCAGTGGCTTGGGTGTTGCTATGATGCTGAACAGGTTTCAGCAGAGCTTCTAGGTTAAGATAGACTAGGAAGAAAGGCCTGGTGATCTACTTGTGAAAAATAAGTCAGTGAAAATCCTATGGACACAATGGTCTGAACTGGTTGTCCATGGAGGCAGGGGTTAACAATATCAAAAACCAAAAGTTGTTACCTCTGTTATGTAAAAGTGTGTGATTTTGGGGTTTTCTGCAGTGGAGGCAGGAGCTCTGGAGGCTTAGTGCCTAAGGCATTTGATTGCTAACCAGAAGGCTGGTGGTTCAAACCCACCAGCCACTCCTCGGAAGGAAGATTGGCCAATCTCCTTCCATAGTGATACCATCTTGGAAACCCAAGGAGGGGGTCACTATGAGTCGGGTTCGACTTCATGGCAATGAGTGAGTGAGTGCAGTGGAGGCAGGGCGGGGAGAGTCAGAGCTGGTAGTGGAAAGAGCTGTGATGGGCATCAACACCAGGACAGTGGTTTGGTGGTAGTGGCAGGGAGTCAAAGTGAAAGCCCAGGTGTCATTCCTCCCTAGCCCAGTGCAGCCTCCTCCTGTCTGAGGGCATCTATCCAGGGCTGGGACTTTCTAGATGGAAGCTGAGGAGTTCAGAAGCAGTGGTGACCTCACAACCCCATCCCAGGCAGCAGTGATCCAGTCCCTGCCCTTCTGGTCCCTTCTCCAAATTCCTCCCCATGGTGCTGGTCACCCCCCTCTTCTCTAAGGCAGGATTGGGCTTTGCTCCCCTTGTGCTTCCTGCTGTGTGGTGTGCTGGGGGGCAACTGCAGTCTTTCCCTCAGCAGATGGTTGAGGTTGCCTGGGAGAGTCTTTGCTTTCCTGGAACTAGTCAGGTTCCAGGATTCTGGCTTGGAGTTGCACCCCTGGGTTCCATTTTCACTTAAATCTTTGGTTGCTTTGGCCACTGCAGAGTTCTGCAATTTGAATGCTGCAGTCAATGGGATGGTGGACCACACCCAGAGATGCCACTGAAACCATTGTCCTACCTGAGGAATGAGTGGCAGCTGCCCTGTGGGATGCCTGCACCCCAGGGGTGTTCCCCTGGCAGGGGCAAGGTGGAGTGGGGCCAGCTGGACCCTAGCCCATCTGTGCAGTGGCTAGAGAATCAGTATGCTCCACCCCTAGGCTTTAGGGTTGGGAGGCATTTGTGAGCAGAGGTGGGTGGGAAGAGTAATTTCCTGATCTGATCCCTGCCTTTGAGGTCAGGGCATTGCATGTCTGCAAAGGAGGAATCTGAAGACAACTTCAGGAAGATTCCACCTGGCTCAGGCAAGTAGCATCTGAGTTGCCAACACTGAGTTCAGGGGCTGGACTGGGGTGCAGAAGGAGCCAGCCCCAGCTTCAGCCCTGCTGCAGGGAGCACTTGGTCCTGAGGGTTTCAGTGGCAACTTCCTGGTGGGAGAGGATGCACAGAGCATTGTATTCTGCACTCAGCACCTGGAGGCTTTTCATTTCTGATTTTTCTTTGTTGTTGTTGCCATGGGTAGAGCCTCTAGTACCATGTTGAGTAGAAGAGGTAAGAAAGGACATCCTTGTCTTATTCCTGATCTTAGAGGAAGCATTCAGTTTTTTACAATTAATATTCTCTGTAGATTTTTCATAGATGCTCTTCATCAGGTAACCACATGGTGTTTGAGAGCTGTGAACAAATCTGGTTCAGCCTTCTTAGCTGGAAGCTACACAGATTCTAGCAACAAAGGTGGGCTAAGCCAGAGCACAAGCAGTGGTCAGTCTTTCCTGTCTAGAGGGGAGTGGAGGTAACTCTGGCCCTCCACTCACACTGACAAGGAGTCAGGTGTCTTTCCATTTGTTCTCATTGGGGTCCACTGGGGAAATGCTGGTAGACACAACCATGTAGAGAGACTTGGACAATGCCGCTGCTGAGCAGCATGTCACTCAGCCTCCTCATGAGCTAGTTTCTACATCAGTAAACCAGGAGCAATACTCTCCTGCCTGCCTTCCAGGATCAGATGGGACAAAGCAGGTGGAAGAACTCCATAACCTGATATGAGAATTCATCACCTTTTTTTTTAAGGATAGGAGATACATTAATGTTACAGGTAGAGGGAAGAATTCGAGGCTTTTATGATCTCCTCTCATTTATTGAGAGTTGAAGTGAAATCACAGTGCTCTGGACAGTGCAGAATCATCCTTAGGCCAGCAAGTTGCCTGCACTGCTTGAGGAGAGTGGCTTGACTTCCAAAAAAAAAAAAAAAAAAAAACCCAAACTCACTGCCATTGAATTGATTCTGACTCATGGTGACCCACACTGGGTTTCTGAGTCAGTAAATCTTTACAGAAATAGGTTGTCTCCTCTTCCTCCCATGGAGCAGGTGATGGGTTTGAACCACCAACGTTTTGGTTAGTAGTCCAAAGCCTCAGGCACTATGCCATCAGAGCTCCTTGTGTCCAGAGGGTGAGGCTGTCTCTCCCATGGGCAGTGGCTGACTCTTCAATCTCTTTCTCCCAGGGCTTTGTCTGGCTGTCTCTGAGAAAACCGTTCGATGGTGCACCATATCACAAGACGAGGCGATAAAATGCTCCGAATTCCAAGAGAATATGGCAAAAGTGGGCGGCCCCCCTCTCACCTGTGTAAACAGAATCTCCTACCTTGAATGTATCCGGGCCATTGCTGTAAGTCAATGCCATTTGTTGGGCAGAACCAAACTGTACTACACGGAAAAGTGAGGGAGAGAAATGGAATAAAATAGCAAATACTCTCTCCCCTACTCCCCCTGCTTTGGGCACCAGTAAGTGGGAGCAGTGTTCTCTCACAGGAGACTGGGCAGTTTTGAAAGAGGAAAGAAACAAGGTAAAGGTCTGTAGTGGAAAGGCCTTACATGGGGAAATTGGGATCTTCATATAGATTAATGCTAGTTAATAAAATGTTAGGATATAATGTTAGTTGGTAAAATCTTTTCTAAACTGAAACATAAACAGTTATGTATGATGAGTATGTGACACTGGCAGATTAATCTGAAAGGTAAAACCTCTAGGGGGCTCATTACCTCAATCCTGAGAAAAATAAGCCTGTGCTGGTCATAGTCACCACACCACACTGCTGGGGAGGGCGTGGCCGGGCACTGGGCACTGCAGAGAAACTCATCCAAGGCATTTTCAAGAGAGAGAGAAAAGTGTGTCATGACTGGTAGATAATTTCTGATTCCTTTTGTTTGTCTAGATCTAAAGATCTACTGAGGAGCTCTGGTGGTGTAGTCCCTAAAGCACTTGACTGCTAACCAAAGATCTACTGAAATAATTTTACTCATTCATTCAACCAATTTGCTCTGCATGCCTGCTATGTGTATAGTCACGCATGCTTAACTCTAGCACACAGTGGGTCATAGAATAAAGTTTCCAGGGCAACCCAGTAGGATTATTTTATAAATATAATGGAGTTATCAGTAGTTAGAAGAAAAATATCTACTTTGATCAGTCTTTTAGACTATTGTTTCACAAGTATATTCTGAGGACACATGGCACCAGCATCTCTTACTTGTTTACAAATTCCAGGATCCTATTCTCAAATAGACTTATGAAATGTTGTTCTTAATAACCAGAGAATAGAATCCAAATATCTGTGGATAAAACATGACATCTGCATTTTTAATAAGAGCCCCATGTGAAATCAGCACAACACACCATATATCAAAATAAAGTTGAAGTAAATTAAATGTTTATAAGTAAAACCTGTACTACTGAAAAATTTAGAGACTGGTTAACTAGCTGACCTGTAGAGGAAAGAGAAAATAATTAGCTTTGAAGCAGTGAATCAAATTATGAAATAAACTGACAGGTTAATTGTTTTTTTAATTAACTCCTGGCAATGAAAAACATGTAAATAAAAAATTTCAAAATCAACAGACTGAGTATGTACCAGTTCTGACAAAAACCATCACCATCAAGTAGATTCTGACTCATTGGAAGCCCCATTGGGTTTCTAAGGTGGTAAATCTTTATGGAAGTAGATCGCCCCATCTTCCTTCCATGGAATAGCTGGTGGGTTTGCACTGTCAACCTTTTGGTTAGCAGTCAAATGCCTTAGGCACTGTGCCACCAGAGCTCCTTTTACCAGCTCTGACAAATGGTTACTATGTGTACTTTATAAAGAATTTATTCAAATCAGTAAGATATGTAGGATTACATAAGAAAAATGATATGAACAGAGAAAAGAGAAATCATAATTAATAAAATAGACTTATGAAATGTTCTTCTTAATAACCAGAGAAATAGAAACCTAAGCAATTTATTACCCTTAGCATTTTCTAAAGGAAAAACACTTGATAAAACAATAGCCTCTTCTATTAGTGATTCTGTAGTGGAATTGGTCTTCAGTGTCAGGGGCATTTTAAATTGGCATTATGAATTTTCTGGAAAGCAAAATGGTAATGCAGCAAGGGCTAAAAGATAAACAAACTCACTGCCTTGGTGATTCGCCTCTTAGTTGCCTAACCCAAGGAAACATCATTGGAAGTAAAAGAAAAAAAAAATGAGGATAAAGATATTTTTGAAAGCCTGTTGTTGTTTGCCATCGAGTCGACCCCGACTCATAGCAACCCCTCCTTGGGTTTCCGAGGCAATATCACTACGGAAGTAGGAATGCCCAACGTTCCTTCCAAGGAGTGGCTGGTGGGTTTGAACCACCAGCCTTCTGGTTAGCAGTCAAGTGCCTTAGCCATTATGCTACCAGAGCTCCTTTTGTTTTTATTTTATTTTTTTTTTTATTAGGATTTGGGTGAAGATTTACAGAGTAAATTCACTTTTCATACAGCAGTTCACATATACTTTGTCTCATG